CTCCTAGTCTCCATCCAGGTCTGAGCCACATGGTGGCATTTATAGGAACGGGGAGGGAATGATACACAGCTTCCCACACGTGGCCTTTGGCTAGGCTCACTGCGGCCCAACGGCTTGCAGATAGGATGTCTTTCAGGTAGAGTCATTTGCCTAGGCACTCAGAGGCGTTGTCGACACCCTGAGCTGGGGGGTGATTCCCAGCTGGCATACACACCCTTGCACTAGTTCTCATCAAGCGAGCAGGAGTATAAATAGTGTAGTGTGGCAGCCTAGACATCGCTCAGCTGTTCTGAGTACAAACCCACCTGAATCCAACTGGTATTCGCTCAGCACGGCTAAGCCCAGCCTCCGCTGCTGCTGCCCACGCCGCCACAGCTGCCCTGCAATCTATTCTCACGCTAGCTTGAGGAGAGCTAGTGTGTGTCAGTGCAAGCTGGTTGTAGTGCCGACTCCGGCCAGGTCTACACCACACACATACTTTGTATACCTACATCGCTGAGGGTTGTGAAAAATCCACAAACCTTAGCCTCCCCACGTAGACAGTCGCGGAATAACTAAGCCAACAGGAAAGCTCTCTCCCGTAGGCTTAGAGCATCTTCATCAAAGTACCACAGCAGAGTTTGTAGTGTAGACCTGCCCACAGTTTTCACCAACTCAGCGAGAGGTTAGGGGGTCTACTACAGGAGCGAGTGGGTGAGGTTCTGTGGGCCTGTAACATGCAGGAGGTCAGACTGGAAAGATGATCACGATGGTCCCTTCTGACTTTAGTAAGAATATCTGAGTAAGAATAGACATTACAATTCTAAACCTAACCAGTGTCTCTTAAGTGACTTGCCACAAGATGTCAGAACATGTTAGTATTAGAGCTGAGTGGGTCCAATATTTATTTAAATTTCTTTCTTGAGATAAGAATTAGATACAGTGCTCCTGTCAATAGTTTCCAAGGTATTATCTGAAAACAAAACCAAGCCACACAACCCTAGAGTTTTCAGTTGCCTAAGTAGTCCCTGGAATCATGGTTAAAATTGTCTCCCCCGAAAAAAAAAAATCTGAAAAGGTGCCCCTGTGGGCATGCATTTAATCTGGCCCTCGTGAATGACCCGTGGGCCTTATTGGAGCCACACCCACACCCACCACCACACACACCCCAAATATAGAAGTCAAACTACACCTATAGCTGCAAGCCACAGATCCTGCCTCTGCTCAGGCACCAAAAGCTTCCAGATAAACCAAATAATAGAACAACACAGCGCAAAGGAGTCACAATGGGCAAATCTGGTTCCACTGTGCATAGGCTGGGTAAAGTGGGATTGGGAGGGGAAAGAGACCAGGGCATAGAGACAAGGTGAGAGAAACAGAGAAAGAAGGAGAGAGAGAGAGAGAGAGAGATCAGAACAAGAGAAAGAGAGAGAAAAGGAAACAGGGTGAGAGAAATTTAGAAACTGCCACTTTACACTTCTAACTCTGGAACAAGTTCTAACCCACTGATCTAAATGTATAAGCCACCTTTCCACTATCAGACACTGCCACTTTAATAGCAGAACTTGACGTTCTACATTTAAGAATCCACATCTTTCTATGGGTAAAAATAGCCCAAGCTGTTTCTCACATCCCAAAAAATTCTCTTGACCCAGTTCTTAATGCTACCCCCTCCAGAGTCTGATCCTGCTACCTCTTTGTAATCTCTCCTTGAACCTCCCTTTGCTGTATTTATTGTCTCATAGATTCCCAGGCCAGAAGGAACCATTGTGATCATCTAGTCAGAACTCATGTATCACACAAGCCATACAACCTGCTTAAAATAATTCCTGTTTGACCCAGAGCAGATCTTTTAGAGAAATGTCCCGTTCTGATTTTAAAATGACCAGCAATGGAGAATCCACCGTGACCCTTGGCAAATTGTTTCAATGGTTAATCACCCTCACTGTTAAAAACAGACACTTTATTTCCAGTCTGAATTTGTCTAGTTTCAAATTTCAGCCATCTTTTACCTTTGTCCGCCAGACTGAAGAGCCCTTTTGTTTCCCCCCCCCCCATGTAGTAATTTACAGACTGATCAAGTCACCCTTTAACCCCTTCTTTGTTACAATCACTAGATTAGGCTCCGTGGTAGGGTGCTCTACTCACCACAGGATAATGCCTCTTCCTGGTCGCTCTGGGGATTAGCTCTGCAAGGCCAACGCCCCTTCCTGCAGTTTCACACCATTGCTCTCTCTGTCTGCAGCCCCCCTCTCGCTGTAGAAGTTGCTACTGCCTCTTTATGACTCCGCCCTGAGGGTGCTCAGCGTTCCCCCCCTTCCAGGGTCGTGTCCGTCAAAGTTTCATCTGTTCAAGGGGCATCCAGTAGTCCTCACACGCTGTCATTCCCACAGTGGCCCAGGCAGTCTTCCAGTTCACCATCCTGCTTGTGCCACTCCCCCATGGCAGGGAGGGTAACCCAGGCCCATCCTCTGCTCTGGGTTCCAGCCCAGGACCCTACAACACACAGCCAAGTCTCAGTCACTAACCATGCTGCTAACCCCCCCTCCCACAAAGCTGCTTCCCACAAGGTGCTCTTCTCCACCCTACTGTCTTCAGGATTCCCTTCCCACCCAGCTGAGCCAGGGACCTCCTCTTTCTCTGGGTTCCCTCCTTCTCTCTCTACTACCCAGAAGGCAACCACAAACTTCCTCCCAACAGCCTCTACTGTGGCCAGCTTCCTGAGTTTATTCTAGCCCTGCCTACCTCTGCTCAGGTGAACTTCCTCCGAATTAGGGCTTTCCTCTCACCCATAATTCCCTCATCTTGCTACCTAATTGGCTGATGGGGCCTGCCTGGCCCACCTCAGCCCTCTCAGAACCAGTGTGGGGGAGTGTCCCTGTCACAGGCTCCTTGAGTCTTCACCATAAAGCATGTTTTCCAAGTCTGTAATCATTCTCATGGTATAATGGATGGGTTAGTTAGTGTGTTCCCGTATATTCTTTCCCCAGGGCTTTGCTGGCAAAAGTGCTCTGGACACAGGTATCTCTGTGGAAAGTTAATCACTGCCAAGGATCCTATACTTACTTCCTCTCTCTGAAAACACTTAAACTCCCAGTGTCAGTAAAAAAAGCTACTCAATGATCTGGGAGATGGGAGAAGAATGTAATTGAATTATCCACCCTAGAGCAGTAGTTGGTTTAGGGCCTGATTTTGAAGGGTGTAACTGAAATCACTGACTTCAGGAGTGTCACTCCAGATTTGTCCTGGTATAACTGAGATCAGTTGACTTAAATGGAGTCACTCCAGAGTAATGGATAGCAGTTCAGATCAATATATACACAAAGGTTCTAGTGAGGGCTCCTCTCAGATGCTAATTATGTATATTTCCTTTCTCCTTTCTCCTAAATCTTCCTTATGCTTTTCTGCTCTGCAATGATCAAAGCCAGTGCAGTGAGCCTAGTACCTAGGGAGAATTGCGGACGATAAGGATGTTCTGAAGGGTTGTAGATTTTACAAGTTAAACAGAGTTGAGAGTGGCCAGTACATGAATGGGACAGCAGCAGCGTTCAACAACAGCTGTGAGACACAGACCACAGCCAGCACAGGTCACTGTGACATTCCTCATTCACCTTCCCGAGCCCCAGGATCCCCAAAGAATTCTCTCTCTCTGATTCGAATACAAAACAAATCAACTTTTCAAATTGTTTCCCCTTGTTGTTATCTTTTTCTCGCAAATTTTAGCACCAGATTGGTGGACCCTGGAAACGGAGGCTATGTCTACACCAGCACTTTTGTCGGTTTAACTTTTGTCGGTCAGGGGTGTGAAAAAAACACACACACGACCGACAAAAGTTTCACCGACAAAAGTGCCGGTGCGGACAGCGCTATGTTGGCGGGAGACGCTTTCCTGCTGATGTAGCTATCGCCGCTCTGGGGGGTGGTTTAATTATGCTGGCGGGAGAGCTCTCTCCTGCCAGCACAGAGCAGCTACACGGGAGACCTTACAGCGGACATAGTGCGGACATTGGTCTACTTAAAGATGTTGTGGGGGGCTGGCTGTTTCAGTTAGGAGGGTGATTTTTTACCAAAATAGTTATACTGGTACAACCTCTAGCGTGGATGCAATTATACATTCCCCTTATTCCCCTTCCCATACAGGAATAAACAATACCTCTACAATCGCCTTTATACTGATAAAACGTGTCCAACACTAGCGGGTTGTAATTATACCAGTATAGTTAAAAAGGTACAGCTTTTGTGTGTGAACAAGTCCCACAGTGTGTCCCCACTAGGGTGACCAGATGTTCTGATTTTATAGGGACAGTCCTGATATTTGGGGCTTTTTCTTATAAACGTGGCTATTACCCTCCACCTCTGTCCCGATTTTTCACACATGCTATCTGGTCACCCAGAGTAGGTGCAGTCCTGGCAGCAGAGGGGAGGACTTCTCCACCTCCACTCCCACACCCTCCCCTGCCCATGCATTTCAACCTGCCCTGGATACCTGACACTCCTGTGTATCCTGCAGAATGGGTATGTGCATACACACACACATACACACACACACTCTCTCTCTCCGTCTCTCCCCCCCCATGTGCCCATCAGATGGATGTTCAATCTCTGTGGCCCACTCAGCCTGGGAAAGATGTTTGGCCAAAGGAGCTGGTTTTCAAACGTTCGGCTTGTGCCTGTACATTTTGCTCCCCTTGGTAAAAAAAACAAACAAAAAAATAGCATCAAACCCTAAATTATCATATTTCCCTAGGAAATCAGTCTGGGTAGCGGAAAGCCTTAAAAGAGCTTGGATAGCTCACAGACTCTGCCAAGGCTAAGTAGTCAGAAGGGGAGAGGGCAAGGGAGAAAGGCAGTTTCAACCCCACCCCAGCTCCCTAAGGGGTGATGAAGCTGTCTCTGATAAGGCACATAGTGCAATTTCCACAGGGATCTGGAGCGCGTTGCAGAAAGCCAACCTGCCCTGATTTCCAGGAAATCATTTGCTTTTCAGAGCATTGGTTCCCAGTGCTGCCCTGCCTTGCGACTAGGGGCTGGGGGAGGAGACAGGGGAGGAGACACAGGAGGAGGAAAAAGGAGAGTTTCGAAGCGGTGTTGGCTGCCACTGCAGTACGAATGAGCGCGCGGGACCGGCTGGAGAATGTCCTGGAGGAGCTGGAAGAGATGGACTTCAAGAAGTTCAAGGTGAAGCTGAACCAGGCGCAGCCACCCTCGGGCTGCAGCAACATCCCGCGGGGTCGGCTGGAGCGGGCAGACTATCTCGATGTATGCAGCCTGATGATCAGCTACTACCTGGAGACAGGGGCTATACAGATGGCCAAGCAGGTGCTGGAGGACATCAACCAGAGGGCCTTGGCTGCCAGGCTGGAGGGGGTATAAGAGGTGAGGGGATCTGACTCCGGATTGGGCCCACAACGAGCCGTAATTTCTGCCCATCTCTGGCTCATCGAGGGCTTTGTTGCTTTCACTTTCGATTTCTGAGCGGGAGGAAGAAGGCCTCAAGAGGGCGATGCTGTCAAGCAGATCCCTGCTCCAGGAAACAACTCTGCTAAAAGCGGGCAACTGGCTGGGTTCTGAGCATCTTTTCCAATAGGGGGTGCCGGCTCCTATCCAACCTCAGATCAGGGGTATTGGCTGGCTTAGCAGGCAATGGGATATGGGGTCTTTGCTCTTAGGGGTTGCCAGTTCCTATCCAGCCCCTGATCGGGGAACTGGCTGGCTACGGGGGTTGAGGAATGAGATACGGGGCTTTTACCCTTTAGGGGTGTCAGTTCCGATACTGCCCCAGGGCAGGGGGGATATGTGGCTATGGGTGTTGAGGAATAGGATACGGGGGCATTTCCCCTCAAGGCGGTACCAGTTCCAAGCCAGCCCATTGTTAGTTCTGAAAGTTATTCGCATGTGAAGTTTTGGAAATGGTGAGAAAATACTTAGGTTGTCCTAGTTCAAGCTTCTAGTGCCAGAGTAGTCAATAGGTGAACCACGGGCCAAATCTGGACCGCCAAACACTTTTGAACGGACCCAAAAAAATTTTATTTACTTACCCACTCTTGAAGACCATCCTCCTTTAGTGTTAAAGGCTGGTTGCTTCTGCATGTGTTTGCGTGTTGAGATTTAAAATCAAGGCCTTGATCATTCGTGGCCAGACAAAAATCCCGTGACACTTTTTTGAAAGCCCGGGCTCCCAGTCGGATCCCAGCTCAGGAATTTTCATTCTGATTTCTTAAACTCTTCCCACAGTTCCCCCCAAATATAAGCTTCTCGTTCACGTCTTTCCTATAGCACTGCCATGTGGCTGTTAAACAGTCTCACTCCAGAAATGGTTGTATTTCAGCACTGCATGAGCAATCCCTGTGTAATGTTGCCGTGTACTTGGTACACCACCCCAGAGGTGGCTGCGCTTCAGTACAGTTCCCTAATTTTTGGCTCCTAAAAAGCTCAAGCTTCAGGGTTTCAAACGGTCTCTTGCAGGGGTCATGAAGGGACAACCCCCCACCCCAATGTATTCTGGAGTTGTTGGTTTTTTTATCTCCTTCCTCTGAAGCATCAGGGATGACCAAGGCTGGAGATGGAAAATGGAATGGGGAGGGCCCAGGCTCTGAGGTAAAATCAAGCATTCTCTCTCTCTAGTGCTTGGCTGGCAGGTTCTTGCTCACGTGCTCAGCGTCTAACTGATCACCATAGAGAGAGTCGGGAAGGAATTTTTCCCCAGGACAGACTGGCCGGGACCTTGGGGGAAGTTTCACCTTCCTCTGCAGTGTGTGAGTGCAAGTGACTTGCCAGGATTATCATAGAATCATAGGACTGGAATGGAACTCGAGAGGTCTTCTAGTCCAGACCCCTGCATTCAAGGCAGGACTAAGTATTGTCTAGACCATCCCTGACAGGTATTTGTCTAACCTGCTCTTAAAAACCTCCAACGATGGAGATTCCTCCCTACGCCGTTTATTCCAGTGCTTAACCACCCTGACAGTTAGGAAGCTTTTCCTATTGTCCAACCTAAACCTCCCTTGCTGCAATTTAAGTCCATTACCTCTTGTCCTATCCTCAGATGTTAATGAGAACAATTTTTCTCCCTCCTGCTTGTAACAACCTTTTATGTACTTGAAAACAGTTACTGTGTCTCCCCCTCAGTCTTCTCTCCTCCAGACTAAACAAACCCATTTTTTTCAATTTTTCCCCATAGGTCATGTTTTCTAGACCTTTAATCATTTTTGTCGCTCTTCTCTAGACTTTCTCCAATTTGTCCACATCTTTCCTGAAATGTGGCACCCAGAACTGGACACAATACTCCAGTTGAGGCCTAATCAGCGTGGAGTAGAGCGGAAGAATTACTTCTCATGTCTTGCTTACAACTCTCCGGCTAATACATCCCAGAATGATGTTTTTTGTTGTTGTTTTCCCAACAGTGTTACACTGTTGACTTGTTTGCTTGTGATCCACTATGACCCCCAGATCGCTTTCCACAGTATTTCTTCCTAGGCAATCATTTCCCATTTTCTATGCGTGCAACTGATTGTTCTGGATATATCTGATTATTTGGGTATATCTCACTTAAATCATTCCTCTGTCATTGCAGGGGCCTCGGGCACTGGAGCACCTTGGTCCCTTCTATTCTCTGCCTCTGGCACATAATAGTCTAGTCTCCTGAGGGCTGCAATACTTTGGTCTAATGACGGTTGTTGGGTGCTGGTGTTGGTGACTTGTGATATGAAGGAGGTCAGACTAGATGATCCATCGGCCCTTCTGGCCTTAAACTCTATGACTTTATGACTCTAAAGTGCTTTGTGGTTTGCACAATGAAAAATGCTTTGCTAATCACTTCCTACCAAATTCTCCCTACAGGGGAATCTAATGAAAAAGGAAACATCCCAGACAACAAAATGCACTTTCCCCTCTAAAGAGCTCCAAATCCTGCCACACAGAGACAGCAAGAAAACTCATGATCCTGCCACCCACCTGGGTCTCTCGGCACATGCCCGTGGTCAACGATGAAGGTCACAGAAGCATTGCAGCCACCTTTCTCTGCCATTCCTGCCTCGCTCCAATTCCTGCCTCGGTGTCTTA